TATTAAAATAGCAGAAAATGCTGGTGATGGGTTAACTGACAGTAAAGTGGTAGTAATGTGCTTTAAAAAGCTGTGAGGAAGTGGAATAAGGAAGCCCAATGTAATGACGCAATATGCTAAACAGTAAATTCCAGTTGTCAAAACTGCTGAGATACCCGGATAAGATGTAATAATGTGGGATGATTAGTTTGCATTCTCTTGTCTGTATCTGTCCTATTGTACAATTATACTTTAGGTTTTCTAGGATGGAGTCTGTTATTTTGCCCTGTCAGTGCAGGGAGATCCTCATCTGTGACAAGAGCCCTCAGATACTGTAGTATGACAAATACTAACTAACGACTTGTATGTTGCAGGCAGTAGATTAGGAGAAGGTGCTGAACGCTATTAGGAACTTTTCTGGATAGGAGAAGATGATGCAGTGAGAAGTTCAGAGGTAGTCATGAGTGAGGCTCTGTCTTGATCTACTGGTCTAATGATCACAAGACTGCAATAAGTTAAGGTGGGAAGAAGGCAGTATTTCAAACTTGCAGGATATGTGTGTGTGTATGCATTCCTGCCTGCTTGCTTATGTGATATTAATGAAGGCCAGTCAGTTATATTTGTCCACAAGAAGCTCCTGCTACTGGATTGTTTCACTTAGTTCAGCACGGAAATTTACCATCTTACTCATCAAATATTGGAATACTGTTTAAATTCTAGGAAATCATTTACATATACTAATAATGTTTTTTGTCTTGTCTCGAACTCTTAACACCCACAGAGTGAAAGACTATCTGAAGAGGCTTGGGCACGGCTTCTTGAAGATGTAGTTGAGAAATGCATACAAATATAACTAGATAATTGTGTTTTCATAGAATTAAAAAAGGTCTGTAGCTGACCAGAAAAGCTGTTGTATATGAGTAGTGAAGAACCTTGTATACTTGGCTAGTATAGTAAACTTTTTTTTTTTTACTGCTGGTAATATCATTACAAGTTCAAAATGTTAAAGAATTGTGCTGCTTAGAACAAAGTATAGCAGTGTATTGGCCTGAAATAGTGCTACAGAGCAGTGGACAAGACAGCATAGAGGTTCTATCTAGGCAAATTGGTGTATGGTGGACTGCGTTGGCCAAATGTGTCTTTTGTGTCTGAGAATACAACCAATGACTTTATTTTCAAAGTCAATGTCAGTGTTGCTATCGTCCTTTGGGGCTTGAAAAAACAGGTTGGATCTCTTGCCAGCTGTGACCTCTCTGAAAAAGTAGTAGCTGTATATAATAGATTGTTAAAGCAATGTTCATAAAACAATAATAAAAATACTTTTTGACAGTGTCACTGGTGGAGGCTCAGGGCTGATAGAAGCCAGGTCTGTTTTGCTTTCCTCAGAAAAACTTCAGACTTCTGCATGCATTTTATTGCCTGGTATGACTTCAGGGATAACAACTTAATTTGTATTACTGTACTGTGTAGAACTTGAACCAAATTGAGTTGAGAGACACGTGAGGGGGAAGAAGGTGACATGACTGTACGTATTGTGTGCTAATATATAAGAAGAAACTCTCATTTGCTGTTTTGGAGACTAAGACAAAAATTCTGGTTCGATTTCTGCCCCCCCCCCGCCATTTTCTTGATAACAGTGTCTGAGAAAGATGAAGGTTGCACTTCTATTACTTCTAAATTTGTATGAGCTGTAATAATGATCAAGCTTTATATTGTCTTTGTATGCATCATTATATGACTGATGTTTCTTCATAAACCATCTTGGTTTCCACCTTTTTTTACTATGCATTTTTCTGTTACATATTGGTTATATGATTTGTTAGATTAGTTTATAGTTGGTCCAGAGCACTGAATTAGAAGGCTAGACTTTTTTCATTCTTCAGTAACCAGGCAACTGTTCAAAACTGTTAAATGAGTTCTGCACTGAAATATGATGAATTAACTTTTTAAAGGAAAAAATAAAGATAATATCCATCACAAATGTTTAGTTTGCAGTCAATTCATGTGTACTGGAGTGGATAGTGCATAAAATTTCATGTCACAAAGCCAGTGTGTTTTGTTCTGTTTTACTTTCAAGCCTGTGATTTCATGTGTGTTGATTCTTGATTTGCTGCAGGAAAAAGGAAGGGAAAAAGGACTGATTCTTTAGCACTTAAAGCTTCAGCATTGCCTTTTTTTTCCTCCCTCCTTTTTTCTCTTCAGTCTTCATTATTGTCCTTAATAAATCTTTATAAAATGTTTCTGCTGCCTCTTCTGCTTGGTGTAGTCTAGCTCTCAACTTCCTGTTCACTAGCAATATCCAACAAAACTAAAAAAACCTAACAAAACCCTGAACTGTTAAAAGAAACAAGCATCAAGTACATAGAGCTCAGAGGTTGAAATGGCTTGAAAGAATTTCCTGTGAAAGCTCTTGTTAAAATTAGATCAGTTGCTATTTTCAGAAAGGATAAATAATTTTTTCAGAACAAGTGATGTTCTTATTGCTGCTTTTATAGGAATTCAAGGTGCGTTTCCATAATCTACAAAATTAATTGAAGTCTGGGTAGCTTTTCATTGAGACCCAAGTAATTCCCACAGGTTAAGTGTATGACAAACCTACAGTTTCTTCCTGAAACCTTATGATGCAAATTGGTTTCCTTATTGGAGGACTAGAAATCATTCCTCTAAGTCAGAAACCAATGTCCTGACAGCAAGTGGAGGTGGTTGTTTGCATCCTAATTGAAAAAGTGTGGTCTCTGACTAATGTAGCTAGAGGTTCTGGCAAAAAGTCATTTTAAGAAAACCTAAACCATGAAGTTTTTGCCAGTGAGCTGTGTTCTTGTAAGAGCAGCATTGCTGATACAGTGCACTGGCATTTGTCTGCTGGCAAAGAATTCAATATAAATTATAGACTCTTAGTAACTTTGTATCTTTGCTGTATCAGCTGGGTAATTGGCTCTCATGGACAGGTGTTTTAAGGACAGGAACGGATTTCTTCCAAATTTTTAAATTTCCATTTTCAAAAAATACATCCAAGTTCCATTTGTTCTGTGTCTTTTTATAAAATGTTAAATCATAGAAAAAATGTAAATGCTAGATTTGCTAAGTATTGCCTTTAACTCCCTGCAAAAAATCCAGAGGTTTTTTTCTACTGCTGTCTTTGGAAATATAAGAAAAATGGTTTACTACTACTTGCTAGTATTACAGTGAAGACAGTGGAGCTCCTTACCTTCCACTGGGTTATACATGTGTGGTTTTGGTTTGTTTGGGGTTTTTTTTAAGATTTGTGTTTATTGGTAATTTTTTTTTCTTGCAATATAATGTTTAAAGAACACTGTTCATACAAATGTTTTAGTGTTCTGTCTGGTGTTGCATAAAACGCAGTGTAAAAGATCCAACACCAAAACACTGGAACAAGTAGCGCTTTGTGTGTTAAATTTTATGTACTGAAATGCTTCTAGTTTCGTTGTATGGTAGTCATCTAATAATGAGTACAAATTTCAGACTTGTTTTTTTCTTCAGTGGATAATGTCAAGTTACTGTGTAAATTCTTCTTAAGAAAGATGTGGAGTTAAATAACAAATTTCTTAAGAACAACAGACAGTATAGGCTGGATAGGCTAATATAAGTATTAAATACGTGATTTAGCTTTATCGAAGCTTCAGTTATTAATTTATGTTATTAAGGTTCATTGGGTAATGTATTTATTTGTCAGGCAGTATCACTTAATTACTTCATAGAGCATGGCCAGATCTTCAAGGAAGCTCTTAGCATTTTGCTGTCCCAGGATTTGGTGCCTTTATATGAGTCACTGTGCATACCAGATGGGATACTGAATGACCTCTGGGTTAGTCTTCAGAATGATTCATCAACGATTACTTCACCTGTCTTCCAGACCAAAAAGCATGCTATTATTTTTGTTCTTTCTCTTTTGGATTTAGAAAAGTTTTAGGCCTTCTTTTGCAGACCAAAACCCTAGTTTGAAAAAAAGTTGCAATATTTGCCTCCTGTACATTTAGTCTGATCTCCCATGTCTAGCGATGAGATATCCAGTTATTTCAACTACTGTCACAGCATATATCCCCTTCACTTAATTCCACGCCACCACTTTGGAAGTATTCTACCACTGCAATGAACAATCATAATGTTATTTATTACTAAGTATGCTATTGGAAGGTAAATTGTCTTAGAGTATAGCTCCATGTCTTAGACCTTTTGATCCAAATCAGTCTTAACCACAGCAGCTGTAATAGTGGAAAGCATTATTATGACCATCTATTTTGGTTTGTGTCCTATTATGTCAGAGGGATAGAAGAAGGACTGTTGTAGCTTGCTTACTTTGTTTTGAAGATGTGGGGATGTTCTTGACTGTCCTTGCATATGGAAATGAGGGTAACAATAAAGAGGAGAGCCAGAGGCTACTGAGGCATGGATATGAAGAGAAAATGCAATAGAAGCAAGCTAAATGAATTAAATATGTTCTCAGTGTGGTTAGGGAAAAAGAATGAGGCGGCGGGGGGGGGAAGCTGAAATAGGATAAAAAGACAAGTGAGAATATTTATAACGTACGGAAGAAGGATCACTCGGAGAATTTATTTGTGTAGCAAACCCAAAATCATTAGTCTTTATATCAAACATAATATTTCATGGTTAAGTAGCTCTTTATCATCAGGAACCTGGAAGCTCTTTTAAGAAAAAATGCATTCTGTTTGGTGATGTGAGCTTAATTCCTAAAATAATTTCCCAAGAGGATAAATCTTTCCCTGTATGATTGTAAAATTTCAATAATTTCTTTTTTTTTCTGCTGGGTTCCTCCCCTAATACAGCATCTTTTCAGATTACTGGTATGAACTTTGGGGTGTGTATGAGATGCCTGCATCCTAGCGTTCTACGTGAATGCTCTGAACCAACTGTAAACTAATCGAGCAAATCATGTCAGCATGAAGAGCCTTAATCTGTTAATGCGAAAGTGTGTGAAATTACTTAATGTAGAGAAACTTGCACAACTTAGTAATGTGGTGTTTTGGGTTTTTTTTCTGCAGATGCCCTCCTCGAACCTTTTTACCAGCACTGTGCAAAATTTTTCTCGATGAAAGTGCTCCAGACAATGTATTAGAAGTAACAGCTCGTGCCATAACATATTATCTGGATGTATCGGCTGAATGCACCCGTAGGATTGTGGGAGTGGATGGAGCTATCAAGGCACTTTGTAATCGTTTAGTAGGTGTTGAACTTAACAACAGAACGAGCAGAGATTTGGCTGAACAGTGTGTGAAGGTATGTGTACTGAAGAACCTTCTGTTTTTAAGAAGGAGCTGGAAAATTTGCTTTCTGAAGAAATACCTCATATTCTAATCTTATTTATTTTATTAAAATGTGAAGCAAAACCACAGAGTATGATAAAAGTGTACATGCCAGCGATGCAGCTTATCTTTATTGTCAGTCTGGTGCTCTTCAATGCTGAGATTCCTTTAAAAAAGAGAAGTATAGGAAAAGAAACAAAAAATATTAGAAGAAAATTTTCCTGTTTATCTTACATGGCTAGAATGCTAAGGGCTAATTTTTATGCTGAAAAGGTGTCGTGGTTTAGCCCCAGCCAGCAACTAAGCACCACGGCTGCTCGCTCCCTCCCCCTACCCCAATGGGATGGGGGAGAGAATCGGAGGAGTAAGAGTGAGAAACACTCCTGGGTTGAGATAAGAACAGTTTAATAGTTGAAATAAAGTAAAATAGTAATGATAATAATAACAGTATAATAATGATAATATCCAGAGCAAGTGTTGCACAATGCAATTGCTCACCACCCGCCGACCGATACCCAGACAGTTCCTGAGCAGCGATCGCTGCTCCCCGGCCAATGCCCCCCAAGCTTATATACTGAGCATGACATCATATGGTATGCAATAGCCCTTTGGTCAGTTTGGATCAACTATTCTGGCTGTGCCCCCTCCCAGTTTCTTGTGCACCTGGCAGAGCATGGGAAGCTGAAAAGTCCTTGACTAGCATGAGCAGTACTTAGCAACAACTGAAGACATCAGTGTGTTATCAACATTCTTCTCCTCCTAAATCCAAAACACAGCACTATGCCTGCTACTAGGAAGAAAATTAACTCTATCCCAGCCGAAACCAGGACAAAAGGGAATGAAGAATTGCTCCAGATATAGATAAATTACCTGCTGTAAAAAAATTATTTGGTCTCTTCAGTAGCACTAGACACAGCTCCTCTGCACCCTTGTGAAGTTTTCAGAAAGATTCACAAGATCATTAAAATCTCTTGTTTAAAGCATAACTCATGGGCATGTGATAGCATATAGTATGGCTTCTTGATTACCATGGCATCAGACTTTATCCATGTATTTTCTATTTACTAGTTCTAGTCTATTTGGAAGTACATCACTGAAGTACTGGAGTAACAGTACTCTTGGAAGGTTTAGAGCTCTCTGTTTTGTGTTATCCAAAGACTTAATTCTCCCAGGAAAAGATACTGTTATCTAGCTGTCTCTCGTGAACACCTGTTATGGCCATGTTATTGGGGGATATTTTTGTATTTGCTCCTGTATTTTTGAAGAAAACTGTAACTACTAGAGTACTGTACTAAAGTACAGAAGGCTTTGGCCCCTTCTGGATGTTGAGGAAGAGAGGGGTTCTGTTTTGTTTTCTTAACCTGTTCTGTAGATGGATATAAATGAGTAACTTGACTTTTTGTCTACTTCATTCTAATTAAATTTCATTTTTTCATAGGTGTTAGAATTAATCTGTACCCGTGAGTCAGGAGCTGTGTTTGAAGCTGGAGGATTGAATTGTGTTCTGACATTCATTCGTGACAGTGGACACCTTGTTCATAAAGATACTTTGCATTCAGCTATGGCTGTAGTATCCAGACTCTGTGGCAAAATGGAGCCTCAGGATTCTTCATTAGAGATCTGTGTGGAATCACTGTCTAGTTTATTAAAACATGAAGACCATCAGGTACTGTAATAGTTGGCTCAATACGCTGTGAATTTAACTTCCATTATGTTTAATAAATGAATGGCTAGGTATTTTTGTATAGCCTCCACAACTATATGTTTACACAGTAGTTGTTATAGTTGGATATTATGATAGTTTCCTTTACAGTTCTGATGACAAGAGGATAAAAATACCACTTAGCATTTGACTCCAAGCACTGTCGTGTGAGTATGACCTTATTTAACTTCTGAAAACTTTATTGAAAAATATCCTGTAACTTTTTTTAGTGTATTTTGACATACTTTCTAAAGTAATTGTATGTCTGCACCTCAGTCACTATTAAATTGAGCATAAATAAGAGACAAAAATCATTTTGGTTTGTTTTTCTTTTGCCAAGCTAAGAGAACCAATAAAAACATCCACTACCTTTGAAGCCAGCTTAAATGGTACTACTGTAGATGCAGCACCACTTCTTTACTGCAGTTTTATTAACTTGAGATGAAGTAGTCCTTGTAAAATCTAGAAAATGAATCCTAGAGGACTGATCTTCCTAACAGTAGAATCCTTTTGTGTATGTCATACTAATGCTCTGTCATAGCTATTTAGCCAAATTCTTGCTGTACCCTGGCCAGGCCTCTTGTCCATGCCGTTCTCAGTCCCCATTTCACCCCCACCTCTGTCCACATGACTTTATTTACCCCTACCTCCCCAGTCTGGTTTATTAAGCACATCATATTTGGGAGACTAAATCTTTTTGCCTGCGAGTTAAGGTTTTTTTTTTTTTAATATATTTTTAGATCTTTTTGAAAGACCCATTTGGCAGGGGACTGTCACACTAGCCATTTCAGAACAAGCTACTATGTTTTTTAGACATTACGTAACTTTATTAATGCAATGATGATCTCAGGCAAGCTAATTCTGAAATTTAGACCATAAGTCTGTAGTATTTTAACTGTTTCCCAATTTATAATGTGTTTGAAAGAAAGCAGTTGCTGGGGCTGTTGGAGATCTGACTGAGAGGTCAAATTAACTTAATCTTTTAGCAGTTAAGCTTTAAGATAAGTGTGCTTAAGATTGGAGTAACCCAGATGATGATAAGTAAATCTGTACCAGTATCCTTGAGGAATGTGTTTCGTGTGAAACAAACCTCAGGATTTACAGTGAATGTTGATGTGTAGTATGGATTTGCCCAGTAACTTCCTTTGTAAAGTTTTGGTGTCGTTGTCCCTGCCCCCATTGTTTTACATTATTGGATTTGGTCACTTTTTATGTGGGCTGCCGGTTAGCAACATCGCTTGAGGGAAGAGTTCAGACCAGATGAATGTGGCTCCACGAACAGCTTAAGTTGGGTTGTTTTTTTTTTTTTTTAACCTTTCTACTAAACTTGCAGTTTGTGAGAAGAAATGTAAATACCTTCCACAATACTCTTTTGCTTTGTAAACTGATGCCACTAATACAGTGTGTTAAATAAGCTTAACCTTTCTTGTGTGTTTCTGACAGAGCTGTTCTGGTAAAAATCCGTAAAGTATATGCAGATTGCATAAAGATTCGCAGAATTGTTTGTTCATCGTGCTGTCAAAGAACTGGAGCAAAATGCCAGAGGACATGAGTAGTGACTATTACAAGTTAAAGAAAAAAATCCCTTGCAAAAGAGTACTGATAAATCAGAATGCTTGGCATGCAAGGACCATGCCAGAAGTTTAACATGGAGTTAACAAGGAGAAACTTTGTTTTTCAAGTCCTTGCAAACTTAATGGAGATTGAAGATTTTAACTTTATGAAGTCTGGCTAATAATCTTGTTCTGTGTGTTGATGACTAACTGTATTTAAGCCCTTGGTATATGACAGCTGACAACAATTTTGAAAGTGGCCTGTGCTAGAAGTTGATGACATTTTAGGGAGTAAGAACTGTAGTAATTTAGAGTTTGGTAAAGAGTAGGTATTCTTGGTTTTTTGTTTTGTGTGGGGTTGTTTTACTGTTTCTTGACACCAGTCTGGTTTGCTACTGTACATGTCCGAAGGCAAATGTGCCAGAAGCAGCTTATCTTGATATGCCTATGCAAACCTCCTGATCTGAAAGATAGAGACACTTTTAGTGTCTCTAAAATGATGAGAGAGATGTTAAAAGCAAAGCCTCCCTTTCTTTTCAACACTGACATGAAAGGAAGTTGGATCCTTTCTGGGGCAGTTGGCTAGCAGTATTTTTTGCCGGGTTGTTAAAAGGATCATCAGTAAGCCTTGTTTCCACAGTGTCAACTGGGTTTTTTAGGTGGGTTTTTTTGGTTTTTTTTTTTTTCCCCTTTAGTGACAAACCTAAATTTGGGAGTTTTTATTTTATTGTCACAAAAGTACTTGCGTGTCCCTGGGTCAGGTGCTCAGTGGACAATCTGGGTTATCTTAAGGGTAGAATCGGCTTTGCCCTATTTTTAGGCTTGGTCCAATTGAAAAATTTCTTATGAGAAGTATGTAGACCTTTAAATACAACTTTTAACTATCAGACTTCACTGTCAGTTTAATACTTTGGGAGATCTGAGTTGGTGCCTCAGCTAATGGCTTGTTTGATAGCATTTCTTTTAATAGAAAGCACCACATTAATACAACATTGTAATATTAGCATAATATTTATTATAAATATCAAATTATAACATATTAGGATATCTTACATTCTATAACTACAGAAGACAAAACTGCAAAGAAATTTTTAAATTATCTTCATTGTCCTTTGAAGAAAAATTGAAATTCAGTAAATGTGTGAAAGTTAGGAAGTAAAACTTCATAGTGCATTTTCATGGTGGGTTTTTTTTTTTTAAAAAGAAAAAAGGTTGCTTTAATGGTTTCTGACATCAGAACAACCAGAAGGTTAAGCACTCCATATTTCAATACCAAGCTGTGGGTTGGTTTTGGTGGGTTTTTTTGGTTTGTTTTTTTTTTTTTTTTTTTTTCCAGACTGTATTGTCAGAATGGACAATTGCTAGTGGGGACCATAAATAGTTGCGTTTCCTGTAAGAACAAAATCTATAACTAAAAACTGTTTTTAAAATGTGCTTCCAACATCTGTTAATTTGGGGATTTGATTAAGCATGTTTTTCTAGATTGGTTTGGGGTTTTGCTCATTTAGTTAGGCAGACGAACATTGTGAGCAATGCTGAACTTTAGACAAAGAAAAATAGTTTCCTTGATTTCTGTATATCATCAACAGAGAGAAAGCGGGGGAAAACCCCAGCAACAATACAGTTCTTTGGTGAGCAGTTCAGAGCACTGCTGGGTTCCGACTCCCAAGTTTCTGGCTTAAAAAGCCTGTCTCCTCTGTTCATTGACTTTGAAGGGAACCTGGGGAAATCAGCTTCTTCTTGTGTGCCCTGTATTCTTGTGAATATCCCCTTAGCATCGTCTCATCTTCAGTAACAGATTTTTCATCTTTTGTGTCGCACTTCTTTCTTAGGTTTCAGATGGAGCTCTGAGATGCTTTGCTTCATTAGCTGACAGATTCACACGGCGTGGAGTTGACCCAGCTCCATTAGCTAAGCATGGATTAACCGAGGAGTTGTTATCTCGCATGGCAGCTGCTGGTGGGACAGCATTAGGACCATCTTCAGCTTGCAAACCTGGACGGAGTAGCACTGGAGCACCATCTACAGCTGCAGATTCTAAATTGAGTAATCAGGTGTCAACTATTGTAAGCCTGTTGTCAACCCTGTGTAGAGGCTCTCCAGTAGTAACACATGTAAGAAATCCTTTTACGCTACACCTTTTTGTTCTCATAGGGTTTTTCCCTTCATGTACTTTAGTATATGCAAGATTTGTGTTGCTATTTTATATATAGATATATAGATTTATATTGTTTTTACATGTATATACACGCACACACAAAAATACACATCGTTATTTATAAAGAGGGGAAAAAAGGAAACATTTCATATGGAAATGAAACCCAGTTCTGATAGTATTTTCTAAAGCCCTGTATATTTTTTATTGTTCAGACTTTTAATTATTTCCAGGATCTCCTAAGATCTGAACTTCCAGATTCTATAGAAAGTGCGTTGCAGGGTGATGAGAGATGTGTACTGGATACCATGCGGTTAGTAGATCTTCTTTTGGTGCTACTGTTCGAAGGGAGAAAAGCCCTGCCAAAATCCAGTGCTGGATCTACAAGCAGAATCCCGGGATTGCGAAGACTGGATAGTTCTGGGGAACGTTCTCATCGGCAGCTGATAGATTGCATCCGCAGTAAGGACACTGATGCACTAATAGATGCTATTGACACAGGAGGTAAGCAAAAATACTCTGAAAAAGAGAATGAGATAAATAATGTATCTTTTTATAATCTGTGGTGTTATAACAAATACTTAGGTAGTACCTTAAAATTCTTTATGTACAAGTTCACTTATTTTGTTAAATACACAACAGGTCTTGTTAGTAATAATTCCTATGCTACTTTTTTTTTAAATTGCAGTTAAGGGCATAAATGCTTCCCTAGAATTATTGAGGATGCTTAATTTTTTTTTTAAGACCTACTATTTATTTGAAGAACACTGATGAAGTTTAATTTATAATTCTGGGAGCTGTAATTATTTTATTTAATTGTATCTTTCAGCTTTTGAAGTAAATTTTATGGATGATGTAGGACAAACTCTTTTAAACTGGGCCTCAGCTTTTGGAACTCAGGAAATGGTAAATTAGTTTTACACAATCTTAAAAACTTAGGTTATTTATGTAAAGAAAGAGATTAAAAAAATAGTTTCCTTTTTCTGGTTTAACAGGTAGAATTTCTCTGTGAAAGGGGTGCTGATGTTAACAGAGGTCAGAGGTCATCCTCGTTACATTATGCAGCGTGTTTTGGAAGACCTCAGGTAGCAAAGGTATGATTTAAACTGACACTGTTAGAAAGCCTTACATACTGACTTTTTGCCTTGTTCTGTACGTAATGTCTTCGATGCAATATGTTTAACATGTGCATTGTCAAATATTTACACATTCTTTACGGTGTCTATCAAAATACACATTTTTTGTTATGATAGGGCAGTAATAGGAATAAAAGTAGTTTTATATTTCCTCTACAGATATAAAAAGCACGTCATGTTCTAACTTTGCTTACAAGCATGGCAAAAGTGTAGGAAAGATGTTATGAAAAATATGTTTACCGCCTTGGAAGAAGGAATCTTAATAGTTTTTTTCATATTTAAAAATATTTGTTCTCAGACTCTCTTACGACATGGTGCGAACCCTGATTTGAGAGATGAAGATGGGAAAACTCCTTTAGACAAAGCTCGTGAAAGGGGGCACAGTGAAGTAGTAGCTATTCTTCAGTCTCCAGGTGAGTACAGTTTTTAGTTCCATACCCTTGCTAGTAGAAATGCTTATATATGTTAAGTAATTCAATTTTAGAAATTTACTCTGTTGAGATTAATTTAAAACAGTTGTATTTTGTGACCAACCTTCCTTAACATGCAAAGTACATACAAAAACCTTAACGTTTTAGATGTTCTTAAGGGATGGGAATTACTGAAGAAACTGCTGACTGGGCACGAGCAGTGCCAGTGGTCCTGCTCTTCAGCTATGGAATGGGACTAGACTGGGATTTTGCTGTGGGTTCAGAGGCTGTCAGCCTTGATAGCTTCTCTAGCATCCTTTCTTTCTACATAGGAACTGCACTTCACCTGTTTGTGAGGCTTTGGTAGTGCTGGAGCCACAGGTGGTTGTGTTTGTATTTAGTTCACTTTAAGGACTTTGAGCTCCTATGAGCCATCTTTGGTGGTAGTTGTTATCACAGTTTTCTTCAAGTAGTCTTGCACAAGTAAATTTTTTTATATTTTTAGGAATGCATATTCCTGTTCAGGTACTTAGCTGTTAATAAAGAAAAAGCTTACATTTATTTGAAGGGGTTTTTTGTTTAGTTGGTTGGTTTTTACCATTGAATATTTTGGGGAAAAAATATTTTCTAGGGGACTGGATGTGTCCTGTTAACAAAGGAGATGAGAAGAAAAAGAAAGATGCAAACAAGGATGAGGAGGAATGTAATGAACCCAAAGGAGATCCGGAAATGGCACCCATATACTTGAAAAGATTATTGCCTGTGTTTGCACAAACATTTCAACAAACTATGTTGCCTTCAATAAGGTAATAGACATGATAGACAACTTCTCTGCGTGTTTTGAATTCCTTAATACACTCTGTTAAAAAAGCCAAGGTGGAATTCTTTTCAGTAAAAGTTATAGCAGCTAAAAGTTTAAGTAATGCAAGTGACACATAAAAATATTTCTGTTTGAATAGAAGTGGTGGTTTGAAAAGTGTTTCAAGTCTAACTTTTACTTGGTATTTTAAGTATCATTTTTTCCTTTCTAGTGAAGTGGTGTCTTGGAAAAAATATGGTTAGTTAGAAGCGGGAGGGAGAAGTGTATTCTTGATTATAGTAGCATGATGAAAGAATACTATGTTCATATAGTACCTTGTATAGACTGTGTATACTGTGTATTTGGTTACAGCTCTTTGTAGCCACTGTAATGAAAGTACTGATTTGGAAGAGGAAAACTAACAAAGTGGTATCAAGATACATTAATTGGAAAATCGGAAAGACTGGAAAAAGCTGTTTTAGAAGGTTTTAAAATGCTTCTTTAACAGCTTAAATGTTAATCAACTGGAGAAGATGGCTCTTACTGAGAGAATTAAAAGATTGTAATCTAATTTAATACATAAAAAGGAATAAGGGGTTGTGATAAATTGCTCTGACCGTAACCTCTCAGCCTTTTACACTAGAAAATATAACATTTGCTTAATCTCTTATTTGTGTTCCCAGTGTTTATAGGTACTTTGAGGGGTGAAAATACAAGATAAAAAGGGGCTCTAGTGGAGAGAGATTCTACATGAGCTGATGATAGGTTATTTTAAATGAGGAAATAAGAAACTATGTTAACAATCTGTGCATGATTAACTGTTGTTGCAGATTGTGGAAAGTTGGGTCTGTGTATTTTAAAGTTTTCTTTATGAATCAGGTAAATCACATTTTTAAAAGTCAGTCAAATAAAAAATTCTGCTTTAACCATACAGAAGTGATAGGCTTCCAAATTAATTATAATTCTTAATATGGAAAGCTGTATGATCTAATAGTAGTTTTAGACTTTAAAACTCTAGGGTTCTCACCAAAACAGGGGAAGTATGTGACAGAAACGGAAGGCTGGATACCTGGGAGAAAGGTGAATTGTGCAGAAGTGAATTGCCATCACTAAGAGTGAATAAAGACAGAATGTAAATAGGTTTACCTAGAGAAGGGCTGAGGAGAGAAAAATACGTTAGGCTTATAGCGCTGTAGAATCAAAAAAGATCAGTAGGTGAATTATTCTTAGAGATAATCTAGGACTTAATAAGCAATTTTGGTTCCAATAACTAGAACTGGAACTCATTTATAATTTTGTTGTTGTTTTGAAAGTGTGCATAAATGTAGTGCAAAACCAGTTTTATCTCGAACATTTCTGTTGCTTTGATTACTGCTTGCTTTATCTTTGTAAGAATCTTTTTCCCCCCCCCCCACTACGATCTTTTTTTAAAGGAAAGCAAGTCTTGCCCTCATTAGAAAAATGATACATTTTTGTTCTGAGGCGCTGCTGAAAGAGGTTTGTGACTCTGATGCTGGCCACAATCTGCCCACGGTACTGGTTGAGATAACGGCTACAGTTCTTGATCAAGAGGTAGGAAGAAAGAAAATGTTGTCCTTTTATGAAACCAGTGCAAAAAAGGGGGTTAGACTCATTGATTCCACCTACTTAATAATAACTAACCCTAAAGTGTTTATAGCATCCATCTGTGACCATGTGTGAAGTTCAGCATGTAAAGATATTTTTAAGTAAAGAGATCTCCTTTATTATTTCCTTTCCATCCCAATGTATTACAGGATGATGATGATGGCCATTTGCTAGCCTTGCAAATCATAAGGGATTTGGTGGATAAAGGTGGTGATCTTTTTCTAGACCAGCTGGCTAGGCTTGGTGTAATTAGTAAAGTGTCAACTTTGGCGGGGCCGTCATCTGATGATGAAAATGAAGAGGAGTCTAAACCTGAGAAAGTAAGTACGGAATTGATAGTTTTATTTGTTCTTGTAAAACCAACACTTCTAGTACGTTTTTCACTGTTATGAAAATGTCTGGGGAAGGTAGTTAGGTTATTAAATTAATGCTTATTGTATACCACTTGTTTTAATTGTTTCTGTTGTTTTTTTCTGTAGCTTCATTTTCTGTTAGCACATTATTATCTGCTGAGTTTTCCTATTCATATTTACTTGTGGTCAAGCTGATTGACACTTGTTTTTGTCTGGTGTTTTGAAAATGATTGCTAAACAAAATTAATCCTTTCTGAACAGAGTGCATCTCTTTCAATGTATGTGCATCAAATAATTGTAGAAGTTTTAAACATTGTTATGGAATATATTAAAAATATAAAAAAGAAAATTATTTTCTACATAATGAAAACCTTAAGTGCATATTGAAGTTATTTACCGATTTCCAACAGTCATATTACTGAGCACTCAGATGAACTGAATGGATAACAGACCACTTCTGTTATGCATTCAGTTAAGGTTTATAGTTAAGCCTGAAGTATATAGTTAAGCTTTTTTAGTGTGGGTTTTAGGTTGTTTGGGCGTTTTTTGGGGGTTGGGTGTGGGGTTTTTTGGGTTTGTTTTTTTTTTTTTTTTAAGTGTTAAGCTTTTTTTAGTGTTTAGATATTAAAGAGCCATCTGGACATAGTCCTGGGCAACTGGCTCTAGGTGGCCCTGCCTGAGCAGGAGTTTGGACTAGATGGCCTCCAGAGGTCCCTTCCAAACTCAACCATTTTGTGATTCTTTCCTCACAATACAAGTTTTGAACAGAGGTGGATGTCCCAGTCAGTAGGCTGTTGTTACTGTTGAGTAGGATAATACGTATCTGAAAGGAAACTTCTTAAAACTATCATTCTCTGTTAAAGAATACTTTTAAAGATACATTTTACAGACAAAAGTAGTATAGTTCCTATACTTTTGGTTTGAGTCATTCTTTTTCCCCTCAAGCCTTTGTAAAATGTCTGTGTTTTGTGTGTTGTTTTGTTGGTTTTGGGCTTTTGTAATGGGTTGGGTTTTTTTGTTTTTAATACAATTTTATTACAGGAAGATGAACCACAGGAGGATGCTAAAGAACTGCAACAGGGTAAACCATATCACTGGAGAGACTGGTCAATCATTAGGGGAAGGGACTGCCTGTATATTTGGAGTGATGCTGCAGCCCTGGAGCTATCCAATGGTAGTAATGGATGGTTCAGATTTATCTTGGATGGAAAACTGGCCACAATGTATTCCAGTGGCAGCCCTGAAGGAGGATCCGATAGTTCAGGTAGTGTCTTTACAATTCAAGTCCAAGTTAAATTTTGAGACTGTTACATCTGTTTATATAATTTGATTGGCGCTATTTTGTTTTGCAGGAATTGGCTTACTAAATAGTAAAGGATGTAAACAGGTGGAAGGTGGTCAGTTAATTGTGATGTTTTTTTATCAGATAGCATGTGACCATAACTTTACTTCCTTGGTGAATTGTGTTAAGTAAACATCTTGCCAGTAAAAGTGTATTAACTTTGTTTTGTTTTGATTCTTCTCCATGCATACTTAATTTTTTCACCCCAGTCATTAAAAGCACTTTGTAGTGGCCGTCCCAGGAAAACAGGTTGAAATGGCGATTTGTTGTTTGCTTCTAGCTAGCAGAATGAAATTGCATGTGTTTGGAAGACAAAGTAATGGAAAGTTTCTCATTGAGATTGGGAAACAAATTACAGTGTCTTAATTGTTTGTTGGAGAGAGGATAAGGGAACAGACCTTATGCACTGGCAATGCACAGGTGGCTTCAATTTTCTGTACAGAATACACAACTTGTTCTGGATGCAGAAACAACCCTCCTCTATTGTTTCATCTTTTTTGCAACACTTCATGCATTTATGAACCAGCAGACATAAAATGCTTTGCAATATTGTTATGTTTTCAACAAGCCATTGAGTGAAATAACAGAACATATTATGATTCAGGATAGAAAGGAAGTGCTAACAACTTTATCCATCAATTTTGGGGCATGAAGACAAAATGTGATATAGTGTGTTTCTAGATTATAACACAGCCGGAAACCACTTCTAGTTTGGTGGTGCTTGGTGTTGGGTTTGTTTTTTTGGGTTTGGGTTTGGGGTTTTTTTTTGGTCAGAAAATGTATCTTTGCATTCTTTTTAACAAGGCTAATACCTTAAAGGTAAAAAATTTGTGTGTTAAGATACTTGCTTATCATACCATACAAATTTAAAAAGATCCATGAGGTTAATTTCTTAAACGCTCATAGCCCCTGGATGCCAATTCTGCTTTCTTCCTTCCAAATGATGCGGGCATGGGGATGAGACTTTACTATTTCTGTACAAGATGAGTGGAATGGGGATGGCTCAGATGAATTTGGAGTGAAGAGAACTTAAAACCAAAGAAGTTAGATTGATGTGAAGAGACACATCTTCCTAAATTCTGTCTTTTTAAAAAGATGGAATAAATCCCAAGTTTTTGAACAAGACACCTAGCACGGATATTATGGAAGGGAAGGAGCTAGACTAGGATTAAATGAGGCTTCTTGCAACTTTTTGTCAAATAGACATCTACTAAGAGTGTTGACGTTGCAGTGTAATTTGCCTGAACTTTAACCATTAGCTCTAAGTGCGTGCAGCAGCCTCTTTTACTTAAGAGATAAGAAACTAGTATTTGTTAAGTTTAACTAAAATTACTACAGTACAGTATAGACTCAGAATAGTATCTTTAAGTCCTGAACTATACTATATGTTCTGCTGTCCTAAATCATTACTGATTAACCTCACAGTATACTGTTTAGTAACTTCACAACTGGCAAGAATATAGAGGGTTGAGTAATGGAATTTGTTAGCGTGTATTGCATGATGAAAGTTGGGGCGGGAGGGGGAATAGATATACTATGACAATTTTTGGAAGGTCTGTACTCACCCCTCTCCACATTAGCTTAATACTTGTTTTGTTTGAATTTTTCGAAAAAATAAAAGTTCAATGCAAAAATTGAAATTTAATGGTAATTCTGAAACTTTAAGCAAGTCTCAAAATTGTGTCTAAGGGAATCTGAAATTATTCCCAACCATGTATAATCATTGCACTTTCAGTGTGACGTGCTATATAATGAATTTGTGAAAATGTAATTGAGGATTTGGAAAGGTTTCATTAACAGAATTTTAATTTTGCATATGAAATTTCAAAATTATAAACCTTCTCTCTGGATGCTCTGAATTTTAAGCAATAAAGAATGTTATGCCTCGAGTGCATATTTATTTTTGCATAGCAATTATTTATTTTTGTATTATACAACAATGAAAATGGCAAATTTTAAAAAACCTAGAGCATAAAGGAGCAGCAAAAGGAAAACAGCAATTTTACAAGTGCATGGACTACAGAAGTTGCATTTATCAAATCAGTATGCTGAAAGATGAAGATATTTGATAACTTTGTTTACATTAATGAGGTTGTTGCATTTTTATTTTACAAGGAATTTTTATGAACTCATCAAATTTTCTGGAATTATACTAATTAACATTTCAAATGTAGTGTGCAGCCTTTTAATTACTACAATATCAAAATATAATTTAATTAAAACTGACATAGTTGTTTGGAATAATTTCAGGCTAGATTACCTAAATACCCTAAAAGTAGGATATGATCCTGGTTGAAATCTACATATAAACACTAGCTTTTAATCAAGTCTCATGTGGTGCCATTAGACTTTTTTTTTCATTTCATGTTTTTCTTGGAGATATAGAGGTCCTTAAAATTTTTGGAATTACTAAAAAAGGAACAGGAACATCTGCATTATAAATTGAATTAGCATGATGTCACTGTATTAAGTAATGTAATTGTGGCTTGCTTTCTTCCTCTGAGGCGAATGTAGAGGTTCTACAAAGGAGATGAGTAAAGCTTATAGAAATTTTTTTGGGGTGCCTTTGTGACACGTAATCTGAGCAAATAGCTGTTATTTAAGCTCAGATTTGCTTTTAGCACATGTTGATTATCAGACTCTGTAAAGTTTTGTGAATTTTTTTCTGGTTTTTATATGGCTTCAACATCTTTTCTCCACTTGCTTTGAGCTGTGAAGTTGCTGTTTTCCTGTTGGAGGATTAATTTAATTTCTTATGTCTAAAAGCTCACTTTTGAGAATAGTTCATGCTGGCCATAATGAGATAAGCTTTTAGTCTTGCAAAAATAATTTATTGTGGATTTCTTTGATCTTCCTATTATAATTGTAAAGATGAATTAATACATCTCTCAGTAGCACCATTCAGAAAGAGTTGCATTGTCCACTTTGGTGTGATCATGGAATAAATCACTGTTGAAGTACAGCAATATGCTGGGAAGAAATTTAGAATACTTTAAGACCCTTAATTTCAAACTGAATTTTGCATTGAATGTACTCAGTTGTTTTGCTCTTGGAAAAAAAAAAAAGTTGTTTGAGAGATATGATAGTGTGGAATCAGTTGTTGGAAGAAAAAAAAAAAATGTTTGTTTCTTTTTAAATAGAAAGTAGGAGTGAGTTCCTTGAGAAGTTGCAAAGAGCTCGAAGCCAAGTAAAGCCATCTACCACAAGCCAGCCAATTTTATCTGCACCAGGGCCAACTAAACTTACTGTGGGAAACTGGTCACTCACCTGTTTAAAAGAAGGAGAAATTGCTATTCACAATTCCGATGGTCAGCAAGCTACAATACTGAAAGAAGATCTGCCAGGCTTTGTGTTTGAATCTAACAGAGGAACAAAGCATTCGTTTACAGCCGAAACCTCTTTGGGTAAGTATGTAGGTATGTGTTATATGCAGGTAAGAGCAAGTGTATGAGGTAGTTTTTCTGTTCGTTGCTTTTCACACCTGTGAGAAACTGTGACTCTTCTAAAAATATGTTGCAGGGTCAGAATTTGTGACTGGCTGGACGGGCAAAAGAGGAAGAAAGCTGAAATCTAAACTGGAGAAGACAAAGCAAAAGGTTGGTGGGCATCTGTGAATTCTATACTTAGAACTTAATTGAGTTTGTTTTATTTTATAACATGTTTATGGAGCTGTAGTTTTCTCTTAGAGGATTAAAATCTTCTCTTGATTTCAACTAGACACAATTTTATGCTGAGTTGAAGGGGAAAACTTCATGCAGAACAAAGCACTTCTGCAGGTCCTTTTATTCAACAGTCTTAGTAAACTCTGTGCTCTTCTAGAGGAAAACAAATTTTCTTCTGAAAATGTAAGGAAATCCAATCTTCCTGACCTATATTTGTATAATTCTGTAGGTTTTTCTTCTTATGCAAAAAGAAAAGATGTTATGATCAACACTGCAGTTGTATCAGAGGCATATGTTACTTCTATTCGCTACCTTCAGTATTCAGATACTACAACGGATACGGGGCTCTGGAACTTGAGAGCCAGGCAAATGAGGATATAGGTGAAGGTTCATCCAGGGGGTTGCCTAGGGTGAGTCAGTCAGCCCCACACATTATGACTGCTTCTGTTAAGAAAAAAAGGAGAGTAATTGTCATAGGCGATTCCCTCCTGTGGGGAACAGAGGGCCCAATAGGCCATCCAGACCCATCCCACAGGGAAGTATGCTGCCTCCCTGGGGCCTGGGTTAGAGACATTACTAGGAAACTCCCTGGTCTGGTACGGCCCTCTGATTATTACCTGCTGTTGGTTATGCAGGTTGGCAGTGATGAGGTTGCAGAGAGAAGTCCTAAAGCGATCAAAAGGGACTTCAGGGCACTGGGACGACTGGTTGAAGGATCAGGAGCACAGGTAGTGTTTTCCTCAATCCCGTCAGTGGCAGGGAAGAATACTGAAAGGAATAGGAAAGCTCAGCTGATTAACATGGGGCTCAGAGGCTGGTGCCATCTGTAGAATTAACAACAAAAAGAGAGCCAAGGAGAATCTCCATCCTTTTTTGGATGTGGGGGGGAACATTGCCACCAAGGATGAGGAAAAGGCCGAGGTACTTAATGCCTTCTTTGCCTCAGTCTTTAACAGTCAGACCAGTTATCCCTGGGTTATCCAGCCCTCCGAGCTGGAAGACGGGGATGGAGAGCAGAATGAAGCCCCCATAATCCAAGAGGAAGCAGTAACTGGACGCTACCTGGACGCTCACAAGTCTATGGGGCTGGATAGGATCCACCTGAGAGTACTGAGGGAGCTGGCGGAGGAGCTTGCCAAGCCACTCTCCATGATCTATCATCAGTCCTAGTTAACAGGGGAGCGGAGGTCCCAGATGACTGGAGGCTTGCCAATGTGATGCCCATCTACAAGAAGGGCCAGAAGGAGGAACCAGGGAACTACAGGCCTGCCAGTCTGACCTCAGTACTGGGGAAGATTATGGAGCGGTTCCTATTGAGTGAACTCAACAGGCATGTGCAGGTCAGCCAGGGGATCGGGCCCAGCCAGCATGGGTTCATGAAAGGCAGGTCCTGCTTGACCAACCTGATCTCCTTCTATGACCTGGTGACCCGCCTAGTGAATGAGGGAAAGGCTGTGCATGTCATCTACCTGGACTTCAGTAAAGCCTTTGACACCGTCTTGCACAGCATTCTCCAAGGGAAGCTGGCGGCTCATGGCTTAGGCAGGTGTACTCTTTGCTGGGTAAAAAACTGGCTGGAGGCTGAACCCAGAGGCTGAAACCAGAGAGTTGCGGTGAATGGAGTTAAACCCAGTTGGCAACCAGTCACTTGTGGTGTTCCCCAGGTCTCTGTTTTGGGGCCAGCCTTGTTT